AACCGATATATTTTTGGGAATAGCCCCCCTTTTAACGATACCGCCCCATTTACGGTATTTTGAAGGTCCTAGTTTCAATATGCAACCGAAACAGCTGTAATTTCGCATATCGAGTTTTCAGAGGATAGAATACCTCCTCATAGAAATGTTTTTAATATGGGACCATGTTTGGACCTTGTTCCCAAGAAAACGACCGTTTTTATACCCTTAACCACACTGTGGTAAGGGTATTATGTCTTTGTGCATATGTTTGTAACAGGCAAAAGGAAACCTTTTGAGAATATGCATAGAATCACTTTCTGAGCCGATTTATGCATGTCCGTCCGTCCGTCTTTTGATGTTAAATTGTAAACAAAGTACAGGTCGCATTTATCATCCGATTTGGATGAAATTTGGCATAGGTCACTTATTTGCCCCAAGGACGAACCCTATTGGAATTAAGAAAAATCGGTTCAGATTTAGATATAGCTTCCATATATAATTTCGTCCGATTTAAGGTAAATGGTACAAAGTCCCTATATATCTTTCGATTCGCACGAAATTTGGCCTCCGTCCTCCGTCTGTTGTAATCACGCTATCTTCTGAAGGAGTTGAGATAGGATGCTGAAATTTTGCATAGGGTTGTCTTTTGTCTGCAGGCAGGTCAAGTTCGAAGATGGGATATATCGGTCCACGGTTAGGCATAGCTCCCATATAAGGGTACCCGCCAAATTTCGGTATTTTGGGGTTCTTGAGCGCGTTTTTCAGCCGAACTCGCTGAAATTTGTACATTGGGTTCTTATTAGATACTAAATTTTTCCGCCGAATTAGCTGTAATTTAGTACTTTGGGTTCTTAATAGGTACCAAATCTCACCACAAAAAATTATGAATATAGGTTAATTTTTTCGGTTATCCCCCATATAAGGGAACCCCCCAATTTTCTGTATTTTGGGGTTCTTGAGCGCGGTTTTCAACCGAATACGCTGAAATTTGGTACATTGGGTTCTTAATAGGTTCCAAATCTCTCCACAAAAAATTATGAATATAGGTCAATTTTTTTCGGATAGCCCCCATATAAGGGTACCCCCAATTTTCGGTATTTTGGGGATCTTGAGCGCGTTTTTCAACCGAATTTGCTGTAATTTGGTATTTTGTAGTCGTATATGGTAACAAATCTCTCTACCAAAAATTATTAATATTCCCCCCCTTTTTGGGGTAGTCCCATATAACCCCCTTTTTATACCCTCCACCATAGTATGGAGGGTATATTAGTGTTGTTTTTCCGTTTGTAACGCATCGAAATAGTCATTTCCGACCCTATAAAGTATACATATTCTTGATCAGAGTAAAATTCTATGACGATTTAAGCATGTCCGTCTGTTGTAATCACTCTAGCGTCTAAACGAATTGAGATAGATCGCCAAAATTTTGCATAGAGTCGTCTTTTGTCTGCAGGCAGGTCAAGTTCGAAGATGGGATATATCGGTCCACGTTTGGGCATAGTTCCCATATAAAGGTACCCCCCAATTTTCGGTATTTTGAGGTTCTTGATCTCGTTTTTCAACCGAATTCGCTGAAATTTGGTATTTTGAGTTCCTATTGGGTAGCAAATCACCCCACAAAAATTATAAATATAGGTTAATTTTTTCGGATATCCCCCATATAAGGGTACCCCCCAATTTTCGATATTTTGGGGTTCTTGAGCGCGATGTTCAACCTAATTCGCTGAAATTTGGTAGATTGTGTTCTTATTAGGTGCCAAACATCTAAACTAAAAATTATAAACATCGGTTCGCTTTTTCTGATAGCCCCCATATAAGGGTACCCCCCAATTTTCGGTATTTTGGGGTTCTTGAGCGCGTTTTTCAACCGAATTTGCTGTAATTTGGTATTTTGTAGTCGTATATGGTAACAAATCTCCCCACTAAAAATTATTAATATTCACCCCATTTTAGGGGTAGTCCCCATATAACTCCCTTTTTTATATTAAAATAGTTAGCTAATTTGTTCAGTGTGTTGGGGTTATCCCCATATCACTATAGAATGGGGGATATTCTATAGATGACATTTTCCGTTCATTCCCTGCATAGTATAGAATTCTAAAACGATTTAGTCGATTTGGCCATATGCTGTAATAATTTTTCTATCGGAGGATATCGACATAAAAACTAGAACGTGAGGTTTGAGAATGAACTATATCGACCCGCATTTAGGCCCAGGTCCTATATAAAACATCCAACAAATTTAATATTTAGCGTGATGCACGGTATTGGGATTCAAAACTAAATTATTATCTTGGAACTTGAGCTATATCGGCCTTTAATTAGGCATAACCTCTTATATAATGAAAACTCCAAGCATTCGCTAATTCTTACACAATGTTGTCAATATTGGTCCCTCCTTAGTATGCCTCATATAAATTTGCCCACTAAACTGAAGTATTTTCAAGATTTTATACACTACTATGGATTTTATACACATTTTTTTCAGGATTATATACAACACACCCTACTATGTCAATATTTTGGGGTTTTGAGATTTTAGAGAAAAGCCACATTGAATTTTCTGAAATATCTATTTGGTTTACAACATTGAATTGGTAGTTCGGCCCGGCCGAACTTAACGCTTTTTCGCTTGTTTATATTAAAATAGTTATCTGATTTGTTCCGCGTTTTGAGATTGGTTCTAAGACTCTGTTGTAATCATTTCACCTGCGGAGGATAGCGAGATAAAAAATTAGAACTTAAGTTTCGATAATTAACTATAGCCGCATTTAGACCTAGTCCCTGTGTGGAGGTTTCAGAAGGAGTGGACCGATATTCCCCATCTTCGAATTTGAATTATCAATTAAAAATTTCTCAAATTTGTATTATTGTTTACATAATCCGTTCATAGACATGTCGGTATAGATCCAATTTTTGGTATTTTCCCTATATTTTCAATTCTAGTACCTGTCAGTATATCTATGGTGGAGGGTCTCCAAAGTTCGGCCCGGCCGAACTTAACGCTTTTTCACTTGTTTTAACTTGTTTCACTTGTTTAAAACATGTTTTGGCTTAAAAAATAAATAAAAATTAGAACTAACCGATTGTAATTATAGCTAAACCTACACTTTTATTGAAAAAAATAAAGTTCTATATAATTTCTTTATAATTGAGAAAAACAAATTGTTTGTCTTCTTTCGGTATTGGATCCACAATTTCTCTAAATCGGACTAATATATATCGTTGCTATCGGACAAACATGGTTCACCATTTACATGAAATCGGACGAAAATACACATTTAACCTATATCTAATTCAGAACTGATTTTAACAAAACTTAACACACGTCGCAATTTCGCAAACGCACATATTGTCTGCGAGTTGAATTTCAATCAGCCAGTTGTGGCACGCAACTATTCTATGTGTAATATAAGCGTGTATCAGAAAAATATTACGTTTTTTGTGAAAAGCAAAGTTAGCATTACAGGACTGAACAACACATCAGACTCTTTACATTTTATATGTTGTTCTCTTAGCTAACAATCAAAGAACTCTTGGTATTTCTTTATTGCTGTCTGTTCGTCGATATTTAACAGTGTAATGTGTACTGCTATTCGTACGTACATATGTTCAATATACAAGTGGGCAGCGCATTATACAACATGAAGAACATGAGTATATTGAGCTCAAAGAACCGATTGACTTCAACCGTTTGGGGAAAATAGGTATGTACTATATAAACGTTAACGTTTCTGTTAAATATACATTCAATCAATATCCCATACACAATGTTTCTCTGTGTAAACATTGTGTGTGAGAAGTTGATAAAATACATGATATGTATATATATTTACGTAATTATTTTATTTATTTTGAAAAATAGTATATTTATATTTAATATAGCATTTAGGCACTTTCGCATAACAGAAATTCATAACAATGTTTTTCATACTGTAGATTGGTGTAGGTATTGTACTCCACGAAAATGTTTTTTTTTTTTTTTGGTTTAGCAAACTAACTGTGTGTGCATTCTTTACACACACTTGAAACATGTTTATTTTCTCGTGCACGACAACTTTGTGTTGGCTGGGGCAACATCGCCTCAGTTCTATAGCAACAGTGAGCGAGTCAGCTTGTGTTATTTCTGTGTACACCGGTTTGCCAAACTATACGTAAATATCGACGGAATTTCTTTATTATCTGAATTGTAGGTATGTACACAGCCTGTCTGTATGTTTGCAAGAATAGTACAATTCTCGAACACAAGCATTTATTTGTTCTGTTCTGTTGTGTGGCGTGCGGCCGCACAACCTCAAAAACGGGTTCTGTCGTTGGTGTTTGGTCGTTGCAAAAACACAACGGCTACATACAAATGCGTTTGTACTAAATGCTCATTGTACATGCAGATTTGTTTCAAACTACTGGTTTGCTCTCATTATTTTACGTAATGCGAAAAAGCACAAAGTGTTTGATTTTCAGATAAATGCTTACGTTCGAAAACAAAAAACTTCGATTGTTTAAGTAGTTAGTGGCGTTCATTTTATGTGAAAACACAACCATAACAATAAAATGGAGTACTTTGACAAAGAGCGTTTTGAGAGAATAGTGGAATGAAACGATCAGTGTTGCCAACAAGCTACGCAATTTTCGTACCAAATTGTTTATAAACGAAGTGAATTTATTTTATTGTACGATTTTCGAATTAACGTCAGTTGAAAACGTGACAAAGTTGGGCGAGACCGGCTATGTTATATATAAGAAGGAGCTGAATGAACAGTATTGTAAAGAATAATAATTTAGACAAGGTCTGATAAAAAAAAGACTAATTTTCTGTTCCACATGATGGGGATAGAATTAGATTTTTCCATTGAATCTTTGGAAAAAAGACTATGAGAAGGAGAGAAAGATGAAGAACAGGCGATTCGAGACGCCCAAGAGTTAAACGTCATATCCACATATGTAACGAAATGGGTATATATATATAATCAGAGATAAATGATGAAAAAATAAATTCGGAACTCACACATTAGAGTAAAATGATTACTCTAATGTGTGAAACCATTTTAAAAGAAGTAGGTGACGTCAAGCGGGATTATCTGGGCTTCTGTTTTCCGATCTTTGCCAAGAACTGCAAAATGTATGATTTTGCATTGGAGGAAATCTACAATGAAGCCGACTATGTAATTAGCCGATGTGAGACATGTTTTGCCTGGCATGTCTAACACATAGCGCTAATTGAAATGAAGCCTTTGAAGACGTCATACAGCGGTAGACATTCGTTTGAGCGCATATGATGTTTTTATGATTTTATTATGGAAATACAGTATTATATATATTTTTAAACAAAATAGTGAATTCAATTTAGGTATTGAATATCAAATACAAACCAAAAACACTTTTCATACACTTTTTGAAATAACTGAAAATAAGGCACATTTTGCCATCAAATTCGTTTGAGCGCAGCTCATTTTAAAATAAAACCAGTAAGGATATATAATACCCTTCACCACTTTGGGTACATGCAAGACAAGTTAATATCTACAATATCCTGCATGTAGAGCGGTCATAGAATCATTAGAGGACATTGAGATGGACTCAGGCGAAATTAAATGTGCTATCTAGATAAATATTTGAACCAATTGAAAAACCCATACACATACCATTCTGAAATCACTGAAAAATTGCATGTCAAACGGACAGACTTGGAATCTTTGATGTACCATATGTATGAAATCGAGTAAAATTATGTTTGGAAACTATATATAAACACATGGACCTAAATTAGTAACCGTTGCATACATCATTTGTTTTTTGTAATCACTATATTCAATTTAATACCCTCTGTGAAATTTTGTGCAACCACCATTTACATAAAATCGAACGAAAATATATATAAGAAATATATCAAATATATCATTTTTTCGCAAAAGTATTCGCTATGCAAAATTTTACTCAATCAGACAAATATTGGGAGTTTGGTGTAAAATTCACAAAAAATCGGATGAAACTATATAAAGGATCTATATCTAAATCTGAAACAATTAAAAAAACTTCGCAGACATCAGTCTGCACCTAATTCAGTACTCTGTGCATAATTTTCTGGCAATCGGACAAACATTGGGAGTTTGGTGCATCATTCACATAAAATCGGACAAAACTGTATATGGTAGCTATATCTAAATCTGAACTAATTTTAACGAACTTCGCACACATCAGTCTGGACCTGAATCAGTACTCTGTGCAAAATTTCTCCCATTCGGACAAATATTGGGAGTTTGGTGTATCATTCACCAAAAAATCGGACGAAACTATATATGGGAGCTATATCTAAATCTGAACCGATTTTAACAAAACATCAGTCTGGACCTAATTCAGAACAATGTGCAAAATTTTGTGCCAATCGGACAAATATTGGGAGTTTGTTGCATCAATCACATAAAATCGGACGACTATATATGGGAGCTATATCCAAATCTGAACCGATTCCAACAGAACTTCCCACACATAAGCATGGACCTGATTCAGTGCGCTGTGCAAAATCTTGTCCCAATCGGACAAATATTGGGAGTTTGGTGCATCATTAATATAAAATCGGACGAAACTATGTATATATGGGAGCTATATCTAAATCTGAACCGATTTTCTCCAGTTTCAATACGGTTCGTCCTTGGGCGAAATAAGTGAACTGAGCTAAATTTCATCCAAATCGGATCATAAATGCTACCTGTACTTTGTAACAAAAATACATTCATGGTCGGACGGACACACGGGCATGCGTAAATCGACTCAGAAAGTGATTCTATGCAAATTCTCAATAGAAACCACGGGTCTTTCTCGATTCTTTTTGCCTGTTACAAACATATGCACAAAGACATAATACCCTGTACCACAGGTTATAAAAATTTGTAAAGAACGAATTTAGACTAGAGAATGAATCAAAAATATTTGTAAGTAGTATGTGACTGAGTAATTAAAAAAAGAGTAATTACTCATATATGGTACGGAGATAAATATCATCTATTCTATGGGGAAATATGGACATTCTAATACAAGAATATACCGAAAAAGGCGTGAGAAAAACATGATCACATGAAACGAGTCCAAAATCAGCAACATATTGCATATTGGGTGGTCGATATCAATAATTTTTGGTACGGTCATGTGCTGCACAATGAGAACCCAAAATACTTAATTCCAACCAATTCTGTCGAAAAACGTGTCCAAAATACCGAGTATTGTGGGGCACCGTTATATTGGGGCTACACCAAAACGTGGATCGATATATGTATGCCATTTGCAATACCAAACATCCTAGGAGTACCAGCAATGTCTGTGTAAAATTTCGGACGGACAAGTATAAATCGACATAGAATTTTACTCTGATCAACAATATATATACTTTATGGGTATGACGGAATGACAAATTTAATATACACTCCACATTATGATAGAGAGAGAGTATCTGTAAAAATATGTATCATCCTTCCTTTTAAATGCCGAAAATGGATCGCCACTATTATTTGGTATGATTTTTCGTATGAATAATCCACAGCTAATGAAAACCAATTCTATTGATAATATTGCACAAAAAATCCCTAAAATACCGTATAATAGGGGTTCCGTTATATGGGATATACTCCGATACAAAAAGAAATATTTACATTTTCTGTTAGGAGATTTTTTTTTTGTTTTTTCTACAACTAATTTTTCACTTTTCAGATAGCTTATATAATGGCTGGTACAAATGTATGCCGTTTGTGCCGTACATCGTGCAGCGACTGCATACGATTATGCGATGCTACGGGTAAAACAAATGAAATATACACCATAACCGTGAAGTTTTTCCATCCAATGGTAATATGACCCAAAAATACCCAATGTAGTTTTGCTCACCTATTTTCTTCTTAGTTCCTCGAAGTTGATAAGGAAATGACCCATCGAATTGTCGTTTTATGTATGCAATGTTGGCATCACATTTCCGGTTTTAATAATTTCCAACAAACTGTACTGCTTCTACATGCCAATCTGCATACTGCGACAGAAAGTGTTGTGGCTGGCTGTGCCCAATTGCAGTTTACATCTACATCCTGTGAGAATCGTGATGAAATAGAGATAGCAGCAAATGAGGAGTTGGAAAAAATCAAAGATGAGCCTGGCACAATTGTAATACCAGACATTGATAGCAATCAGAATCGCCAGACTGGGGAAGCTGACAACACTGGACAATTGATAGTTACAGATCATGCTATCGTATTTCCAGCCAATTTAAATCCAAACACAGCAGCGCCGCCATCTAACGCCAATGTACCGTCGACAAGTAATGAAACCATGCCCTTTAAAATTGAGAATGCCATGCATATCGATGATCAATATTCCGATCAGGATGGTGACATTTTTATTGCTAATGAACTAATTGATGAAACGGAAAATTCGCACAGTTCCGACGATGACGATTTACTTGAAATACGAGATACACAAGATTCGGCCGACTCCGTCAACGAACTACAAATTCCAACTAGTAGAAAGGATCGAAAATCGCAGAAGGGAATTGACGAGATCATTGCTAAATGGAAACCTGTTCTGCAGTGTGAATACTGCCCCAAATCGTTTGCCACATTCACTTTGCTCAAATCTCACTATTGCGACGACCATCCCAATAACGAATTCTTTATTATGTGCTGTGGACGTAAACTGAAATATCGGTACAGAGTCGAAGAACATGCCATTATTCACATGAACCCAAAGGCGTTCAAGTGTCAGGTGTGCGGCAAATGTTTTACAGCCCGATTTACTTGGATGACTCACACTAATCACTCACATCCAGAGGCCAAAATTTCCAAAGACGATGGTGGCAACGGCTTCAAATGTTCCATATGTGGATTATGTTGTGGCGATGCAGCAACTATGCTGCAACACTGCAAAATTCATTCGAATGACAAGAAATTACATCACTGCCAGTTTTGTAATAAATCATTTAAAAAGGAGCGGGGTTTAAATAAGCATTTATACATCTATCATTTGAGCTGCAGGCCCCAAAGCTCTGATATTATTCAAACGTGTCCACATTGTCCCAAAACCTTTAATTATCGTACGGGATTGTATCACCACCTAAGAAGAACACATCCTGCAGAATTTGCCCTGAGAAAGAAGAAAAGACGTATCAATAACACCACAACTGAAAATCAATAATTTAAGTAGGTTATGACAGTATTTTGTAGAACTCTAAGAGGGGCTTAGAAAAGTGAGATGTAAAGTAGTAATATACAAACATACATATGTGTATATTTTAGTTTATAACAATAAAGTTCAAAACTTTAGTATACAAAATGACTTATAATTTTTTGTTGTGGTACAGGTTTTTCCTTAAATTACCCGGTATTTCGGTAACTAGAATTGTTGAAGTTCTTAGTCTTTGACTAGTAGAAACTACGACATTGCTAACTACAAGTAAAAACGGTGTTAAGTTCGGTCGGGCCGAATTTAGTATACCATATACCATGAAGTGGACATTGTATCCAAATCGTTTATAACGAGGTCAAGGGGTCGTCGAAATTAGTCGGTAGAAGCGATATAATCGATACCAAATAAAGAGCAGAACTTTCGAAGGACGTCGTTATTACCGATATGACGTTAAAATCGATGTCGTTATGAAAGATTTCGACTGTAGTTAATGATAAGTCGTCTCATTTATAATGATTGGCTATGACATGGTTCATTGTTGCCTGGATGAAATAAAACACCAAAGTACAAAACCTAAGGAAAGCCATTTGGGCAAGGCATAAAACATACCGAAATTTACGCATTACCTTTGTATGGTTGTAGAAACATTGGAAACGTTCTGTCGTACTGAAATATACGTATAGGACCAGTTTTAGTCTGGACCATTTTATGGGGACTGCACCTGATCCAAGTCGGTTAAAAAGTGGATATTCTCGATCCTCGAAATATAGGAGATTACTGTTGAAAATGGTATAATATGATATATCGGTCCACATTTTGGTATAGCCCTCATATAATGACACTACCCAATATTCGGTATTTTTAAGCTTTTCGTTTTTCAACCTAATTATCGTACTGATTCGAGTTTTCAGGTTATCATAGAACGTCTAATCTAATCTTCCAAGCTTGATTTATGAAAGGTAAATATATTACCAAGTGCAAAGTTTTTATGAAATTGGATATTCCGTTCACCCAATATGTGATTTAGAAGTTTTCAAAATTTGGACCCTTTGTGGGGGAGATACTAGAAGAAGTGGACCGATTTTCCCCATCGAACATAATATGGGTTTGATGGATATTTTTCAATATGCCAAATTTTGATCTAGTCACACATTCCATTTGCCTGTGTCGGCCCCGTCCGACTTTACTCCTTCCCTTACTGGTTTGATGTTAACACAAAAATAACCCTTAATGAAAAATTTTCCGCAATTTTTTTATAGTAAATTTATTTTTTGAACTTCCTTGGATATTATTAATGTTTTAAAATATTTTAAATTGAACAAATTCTCCAGAATAATTCTTGTTTTTATTTTCCATTAAACACTTTTGAAGAGAAATTTTGCCCACCATCAATGGTTTTAACAATAAAAAATTTAAAGAGCACGCAGCAACGCAGGTGTGCATGGCTGCCCAACATCGTTTACCATTGAGTTATACTAATTCAGAGTCGAACAGAACTAAAATTAAGTTGGGCAGCCTTGCACACCAGCGTTGATTCATTCTCTTAACATTTTTGTATGTTTAAACAAAAGTAAGATAAATAAAAATTGTTCCGCAATTTTTCTAATGTATTTTTTATCCTTCCTGTGATATTATTTATGTTTAAAAAAATACATTAAATTATTATGCAAAAATATTAAATTATTAAATTCCGCAGAACAATTTTTTTTTATTTTCCCTTAAAAAAATTAAGAGAAATTCTGCCTACCATTGGCAACATGCACACCAGCGTTTTTTTATGATTGTCTCTCAGTTATGCTCTCACATACTTACTCTCTATTTAGTTCTCTTCAACTCTGCACTACGTCTCCTTCATGCATTGCTGCACATGTGATGTGGGCATGCACACAATTCTTGATCTTTGCTGTTCTGATCAGTTGAAAACTAACAGCACAAGAGGGGAGATCTTGTTCGTTTTGTTTGTGAAGAGTTAAGTGAAGTGAACGTGTGTGTTTATTTTCTGCAGGTAAGACAAATTATTATACATTGAGTTTTTATCTTCAAATAAGTATTGAAGTCGTTGTGGTTTTTTACGGTTCGATGCTTACTTGGTTTCACATGGGATGCATTAAATGGTTGATGTGCAGAGAAATGCGTATGAAACAATTAGAGCAATGGTGGGCAAAATTTCTCTTAAAAATGTTTAAGGGAAAATAAAAACAAGAATTATTCTGCGGAATTTAATTAATTTAATATTTTCAAAGCATAAATAACATCCCAGGAAGTTCAAAAATTAAATTCATTAAAAACCTTGTGGAAAATTTTTCATTAAGTGTTATTTCTGTTTTAACATCAAAAAATGTTAATAGAACGCATCAACGCTGGTGTGCACGTGGATTAGAGGGGTTTTACACTGTTGGTGATTGGGATTGGTGTTGAGAGTTTTTCTCTTTCTCATTGGTAAATTAAGAGTAATTAGAGTTTCGCTGTTTTTAATTTTGTAACAATCGTACTTTTTGTTCACAGAAGGTACGGTATCTGACATATTCTGGGAACAGTTTTATTTTCTGTGCGACTTTTTTTTGAAGGAAACGACTTTTTGTGCAACTTTTTTTTTTAATTCTCAACGGTAACACTGCTGTACGCAAAACAAGCATGGTCAAACAAGCATTCTCGTTTTTACATCCTTCTCCACACTGTGGTACAGCGTATTATGTCTTTGTGCATATGTTTGTAACAGGCAAAGGGAATCGAGATAGACCCACGGTTCCTTTTGAGAATATGCATAGAATCACTTTCTAAGTCGATTTACGCATGTTCGTCGGTCTGTCCGTCTGTCCATGTATTTTTGTTAACAAAATACAGGTCATATTTATGATCCGATTTGGACAGAGATTTGGCACAAGGACGAACCCTATTGAAATTGGGAAAAATCGGCTCAGATTTAGATATAGCTCCCACATATATTTTCGTCCGATTTAAGGTAAATGGTGCACCAAAGTTCTTAAATATCTTTCGATTTGCACGAAATTTGGCATAACGTACTGAATTGAGCCTAGAGTGATGTCTGCCATTTTTCTAGAAAATCGGTCCAGATTTAGATATAGCTCCCATACATATTTTCGTCCGATTTAAGGTAAATGGTGCACTAAAGACCCATATATCTGTTGATTTGCACGATTTGGTACATCGTTCTGAATTGAGCCTAGAATGATGTCTGCCAAGTTCCGAGAAAAACGGTCCAGGTTTAGATATAGCTCTCTTATATTATATATTGTTTTTAAGTAATTGACGCACCAAGGATCCAATATATGGCTGATAGGAACAAAACGTACTGAAATTAATATAACCTAACCTGTGACAAGTTTCGTTGAAATCGGTTCATATTTGGATATAACTTCCATATATATTTTTGTCCGATTTTAAATAAATTAGACATCAAACTCTTTATGTTAGTCAAGTTGACATCAAATTTTACACAACGTACAAAATTGAGCATAGAGTTACGTAGTTGGGTTTTCTAGAATTACATACATAGCCCAACGGATGACCTATTTATATTTGTTTGAAGTCGATTGATCTAAGTCGATTCACATTTAGATAAATATCACATATTTTATTTCATCCAATTTCATGTTAATAGTCCTGTTTAATATGCCAATAGTGGTGAAGGGTTTCATATAGTCGGCACCGTCCGTCTTTACTACTTTCCTTACTGGTTCTCTTTTCGTCAGTGGTTTTTAATGAAGAATTCTCTGTTACGCTCACACACATTTACTCTCAATTTTGTTAGGCCCACCACTGTTTAAAGCAGGTTCGGGCAGAGCGTAAAAAATGCAGTTCTCACGCTTTTGTTTCTGTATGTGTCAATGGTTTTTCAGTTGAATGTGATTAAGCGTGGTTTCACATTTATCAGGATCGGTGTTGAGAGTTTCTCTCTCATGGTAAATTGAGAGTTATTAGTGTTGTGCTATTTTTAATTTTGTAACAAGCGTACTTTTTGTTCACAAAAGGGTACGAATTTACCTGCATGTTGTACTAAAAACAAAAAAGTCGTTTTTGTACATTTGTATGTAAATAATTACAACGGGTATATATTAACCGATAATTCTAGAGAAGTACTTATTGTTTTATGATATTAAATTGGAAACCCCTAAAAACGTTCGCTGATGTGAAAAGGTGAATTACCTGCAGTAAACTCAACAATTGTTTTCAAGAATATAAAAACTGTACCATAGTGATTAGTTTACCTGTTAAAAATAAATTTATTTGAAACTGCGAATATGAAGTCATAATGTGACGAAAAAAGTACCTTTTCGTACTTTTTTGTTCCTACCTGTGGTAATGTTTTCCAACTCAATTCACAATTTAAAACTGAGAGAGAGAGAAACTCTCAACTCCGATCCTGATAAATGTATAACAATGGGCAAGAATGGGAACTGGTGCCCTTATTTATATGTATCAATAAGTTTGTTCTCTGCGTTCTCTTATAGTAAGTCATTTCATATGCCGGTTTCTCGTTTGTTTTCTGAGCATTTTTTCGTTGTACACCTCTTGTGTAAGAGAATAGTGATATTTACTCTCGAGAGAGCACACGTGCGGTGGTTCACCCGATACGGGTTTGAAGCAGGGTTAGCCAACAATACATATGCAAATTGTATTGGGAGAGTAATTTTCGATCTCTCGGTACAGATCGTATATGTTAAAGCAGGCATGCTTACAGTCTGTAAGTTACAGAACAGTACTGAACAAATTTGTGTGTACATTTTTGTGGTCGGAAAAAATTATCGATGAATTTAATTTTTGTTATTATATAGATTAAAAGCATTATTAAAAATGTTTTTATATGAATTACAAATTGTATATGTTACAAAAATCAAATAAAGTTTATAAAGTAGCATATACTGAGATAATAGTCATATTATCAAATATTTAATTCTTGAAATAATTAAATATTTAATAATGTTATGTTTTGTTGTTTTTAAAGTTTTAAAACAGGCATGCTCAGCCATACACGGTACCGTAACTGG